CCCCTTTTTTGATGGATTTGCTTAAATCTTGATTTCTCCACTCTTCTCCACATTTTCTTTGATTTATTCTCCTTATTGTGCTCTTGATTTTTTGTCATCAAAGTACCAAGAAAAAGAAGAGAAGAATAAACTGAAAGAAGAAGAGAAAAAAGTGAAAGAAAGAAAAATAATGAAAATCCCTTGAAGTTACGTGTAGGGTTTTAATTTTAAAACTAAGTCTTCGATTTTTGCAGCCTTGGTCCCTGAGTTTAAAAAAAACAATTAAAACGGTCCTCAAATGAAAGTTAGTCATTTCCTTTTTCATTTTGCTGTCAAGTCCTCCGGTTCATTGCACAATCGGTCCCTAAACTTTGATATTGTACATTTTGGTCCTCAGAATGTAATTTTCATTTCGATTATGCCCTCCATAAATTGCATCATGAGNCTCGAATTTTGACATTTATATCAATTTTGCCCTCCATAAATTGCATCATGAGTCCTCCAACTTTCTGCCCTTGATCATTTTGGTCCCCAACTTCACAATTTTGTGTACTTTTGGTCCCTTTTCACTCATTTTGCCTTTTCTATTCCATGGATGATTTTTGGCCTACAAAAACAAATGTTATCTAATTGTGAGTAAAAATCTATTCATTTTAATCAATAATTAGCTGGTTTAAGTATTAAATAAGTGTGCAAAAACACACTTATCCACAACCTTGCCTTTGTCACTTTGAATTTGTTACTTAGGCCTCAATTGTTGATCTAATTTGGTATATTTCTCTCCTAAATGTGACCTCACAGTGAATTCATTCTCCATGCCGTCGAAAAAGAAGTCTAAGGTCACAGAATCTTCGTCGTCTACTACTAATTATGATCGAAAGCATTTTGTAAAAGTCGTGGCGGAAGAAAGCTATAGGCATTCGGTGGTACACTGGAACTGCATCCCCGAGCGAGGATTTGATAACTTATTCCAAGAACAAATTCAAAATTTGGGATGGAAAACTTTTGCTTTGCAACCTCAGGGCATGTTCTATCCCTCTAATTAAGGAATTTTACACTAATGACAAGGATTATGAGAACTTCAAAGTGTTTGTGCGTGTTCGTTGGGTTAAATTTGATAGTGCTTCTATCAACAGATTCTACCACACGTGGGATATACCCAATGATGACTATACCAGATTGCGGGATGAGGGAGTTGACCCCAACATCTTGATTCACACACAAGCTCGTGAAGGCACTGAATGGAAACGTCATGCAAGTGCTTTGACTAATTTTCCTGTAGCCGAGTTGACAGCCAATTGTAAGATGTGGCATCAACTTATATCTGCCAAATTGATTCCCAGTAGCAACATTAGTGAGGCGACAAGAAAACAAGCTACATTGAATCACGCCATCTAGATGGGACACTTAATTGATATGGGCAAGGTCATTCAGAATCGCATCCTACGAATTATAGCGGGGCCTGTCACCAATAATTTGGGACATCCATCCCTGATACATGAGCTTTATATACAAGAAGGGGTCGCCACACGAGATTCTGATGAGGTCTTCCACCTTAAGCAACCACTAATGCGAAACCTCCGGGGTAAGCTAAAGGTGCATCGACACATGGTCAATTCATCTCAACCATCAAAACCAGCTACACCTACTCCTCCATCTTCACAACCATTGACCCTACATGGGATATACTTAGGCAGCTAGAGAGAATGGACTTGCGCATGACCCGTTGGCAAGATGGCATGCAAGTTCGGATGGACCATCTACAGAGTTCCATGTATAGCCAGTTTCAATATCAGAATGAGTGCTTTGCACCCATAGCCTCTGCATATCCTGGGATTGCATTTCCCCCACCACCAACGTTCGCAATTCACTCCTAACCTCCAGCTCCACCGGACGACGACGATGTCATCTAGTGTCGTACCTGAGTTATTCTCCCCTCTTCTCGTTCCTTTTCACATTGAGGATACTGTATTATTCAAGTTTGGGGGGTATTATAAATTATCTAATTGCTTGCATAATTTTTATTTTATTTTGTGTGATTTGTGTCCATTTTTGTCAAAAAAAAATTAGTATTTTTGCATGCTTGTGTAGGCTGAATAACATTGTTAGTAATGATGCATATATTTGGGAACATGAGTCGGTTGTGAGTTATGAATAAGGTATGTGCTTGAGTTAAAGTCTTGCTTATCATTACAAACAATTGTGATATAGATGCATGTGAATTGATTATAACGTTGCACATGAATAGGTTGATTCATAAATGATATAGACGAAATTAGTGAGCTTAGAAACTTGTTCCAAACAACCTCCAAACGAAAAAAAAAAAAAACATTCGCATCCCATAACCAATTTTAGGATAGTTTAGATAGTGGAACTTTTTGTAGGAAAACATGGATGTGGATGTGGATTCCGTGTGTACTAAAATTCGTGTAGACTATTGAGATCAATATGATGAAAATTGGGTGAAAACCTTAAGTTAGGGATCAAATTTTCGAGAATGAGTGTTTAATAAGGGACATTACACTGATCATGGTAAAAATTTAAAAAAATGGATTGTTATAATAATCTCATTGTGAAATATCTATTCGTAGTCTTTATGATTCGAGTGAATAAACCTGCAAAGATTTAAAACTTGATGTCCTAAAGTCATCCGACAAGGAAGTCATCGGCCTAAAGCTCGCTACAGCGATCATTTAGAAAGTTTAATGGATAGATGTCCATATATATATATACCATGATTAGCCTCGAACACTCATTTTAGAGGATTAAGCCTTTTACAAGAGGTCAGTAATTTAGTTGATTCTTAGAGGTTGAAGCAATCAAAAATAGGATAATTCTCATTTACAGATATGTTGGACTGCATTCGGTAACAACTACCCGAACTAGAGAGGGTAAGAAGTATCATTAGCAAACCATAGATTTTACCTAAAAAAAAATGGAAGTGAAAATAAAATAAGTTTGGGGGTGTGTAAATCTCACGAGTGGAGTAAGGAGATAAGAGACTTTTAAGGTCGGGAAATGAATAAACTTATGAATGTCAACGTTTTATTTGGTTTCTCTCACACACATGTTTTGCATTGGAAAGGTAAAATTT